TGTAAAAAAATTAGCTTTCATCACATTAAGTAAGTAAGTAAGTAAGTAAGTAAGTAAGTAAGTAGGTAAGTAAGTAAGTAAGTAAGATGGTAAGTAAGGTAGTAAGTAAGTAAGTAAGTAAGTAAGTAAGGTAGTAAGTAAGTAAGTTTTTTTTAACGACATTGGCCCACAACACATCATATAAAACACTCATTGTTAGGTAAAGTTCCCATAACGAAAAGTTACAGCTTGTGCACATATAATATCTCTTATCAAGGCTCAAACATAGCTCATTTCTGTCACTGGGCCGAGACAACTAGGGGAGGAACTATAATGAATACCAAGACTGTATCAAACATCCAACGTTACATTAGGCCTACAAGATGGGCCACCCCTCTCGTCGACAAAATGTGTCATGACGCGGTGGAATCAGGCGCTCTAAATGTTTTGAGCATACAGAGTTATTAGTATCATCTTGAAAGCTTGTTCATTTGCCTTGCTTTTGATGAAAAAGGTATCAATTAATCTTAAATAAAAGTCGAGATATGCGATTGAAGGAGGAGGGAGTCGTTTGTTATGGGGGAAAATTAGCGAGAAAATGGCAGGCGAAAGTTTGGTGACTTTATAGCTTGAGAGTCAATGGAAACTGGAAGTTTACATTCGGTGTGCCTTTAACTTTTAAGCAATGTTTTTCATTTTAAAAATAAATCCCCTCATAATTGATTTTAAATGGACATAAAAGGTTTTGAGCCATTAAAAAAATCGATAAAAAATTCCAAACAGTGGGAAAATGCCGGTTTCTTCTAGATCTATTTCATTTTTTTTTTTAAAGAACGCCTGATTTCACCACGATGCCTCACAAATGAGACAGTTCGGTCAGGCTTAGCTAAATCAGCGCCTAGAACTAACAAACGGTTTGTTGGTAATACATGATCGAAACACAAGTACAGTCAAAACACGTTTCTTCTGCTCACTTTGGGATAATAATAATAATAATAATAATAATAATGATAGATAGCATTTGTATAGCGCATATCCCCGCTCAACAGCAGGCTCTATGCGCTTTACACTATATTATTACCCCAGCAGACCATAGTACACTCCGAAACATTCTCAGCTTCCCGGGAAGCATACAGGATGAGCGTGAAGTTGGCGGTACAACGAGGCTGGCGAAATAACGGGATAGCACCAATTGCCATCTTAACAAGTGATAGACTAGTGGAGACCTGATACAAACTGTGGCCAATTGTCACTCATCTAGATCTGTCTTGCGTGAATACGATGTGCAGGGTAGTTCTGTGCCATTTTGAGGAAACAAAAATTCATCGAAGCTTCGAAGTGTGAGCTCACTATTCATACTATTCGAATACCTTTATCGAATGTTTTTTTCTCGTGCATGATAGGCCCAGACCTAACTTCCACTATTCAACATTCACAAACTATTCACAGCACCGTCGAATGGTTTTTTCTCGTGTATGATAGGCCCAGACCTAACTTCCGCTATTCAACATTCACAAACTATTCACAGCACCGTCGAATGGTTTTTTTAAGCCCAGCTCTGTCTAACTCCCGCTATTCGAAGCCCGTCGAACTCATTATAGTAGAGGGTTTAACGGCGCTCGCAACTGCATAAGGTCATATGAACGCCAAGTGGTGGGTGTCAACAGTAAGTCTTTACAGAGAATCAAACAGACTGCTCACCTCTCTAGCTTCAACTTCAACAGCACAATGTCTGCTTCGACTATTAAGGCACCCCGGAAATAGCAAGTCACAAGAGAGTGACAAACATACAAAAGAAGTAGAGGAAAAATGACAATAGCAAGGATTAGGAAAGAAAAAGCAGCAGTTCCCTGTTGTAGATCAGGCACAGTTATGAGCGTCACATGAATCAGCCCATTTACAATTCTACTGTGATTTGAACGAGAAATGTCCCACTTTGGGAATGGCCTAAAGACACTACAGTCAGTGGCACCGCCCCGGGGGGCTGATATCACAATATGTATTCATGTTTTCCCACGTTTCTGTTCTGGTACATCATTCTGTGACCCTTCTCCACTTTCCACGTGGCTTTCTCCTTGATCTCTTGTTCAGAATGCAGGCAAAAAACATCACGGAAAGAGAAGACAGGAGTAGGGCTTACTTAATTTTTATACGTGTACGTAAAATATATATATCTGTGTGTGTGTGTGTGTGTGTGTGTGTGTGTGTGTGTGTGTGTGTGTGTGTGCGTGTGTGGCTAGCATTTCCTTCCAGCAACTTTGTATTCTGGGCTTTTCTACCCGAATAATCAATGAATACACAGGGCCTACTCTATAGCCTTTATGTGTCAACAGTTTGCATCGAAATAATCACACCTGTTGCAGACATCTTTTAGTTTTAAATTTAATAACTTTTAATAAGAGTTTTACAGCATTTGCAACACAATATAAGATCATATGTGAAGATTAAAGGTGTGCAAGAGAATATCAAACACAAAAAAGAAGTAGGAGAGATAAGAATAATTACAATAGATGAAGATGTTTGATAGGAAAGAAGGAGCAATCCACACAAGACGACCAACGCAGAAATCTTTGTTTCAGTTATAATTCACCAACTGTTCTAATGAAAAGCGGTAGCAGGGGCATGAGAAGAAAAAAAAAGAACAAAATCTGTGGCATTTTTTTTATTGTGTTAAAAAGGGAGATTGGACTGCAGAGTAAAGAGTAGAAAAAACCCAATGAATTGGAAATCATTTCCAGTTATTAACAAATTTTATGTTCAACGCCTTCATTGTAAAGAAAGTCTACCATACATGAATGTATTTCTTTTTCACTGATCTTCACTCTCAGTCTCCCACCCCTTTTGCCTTCAAATCATTTAACAAAACTTGATGTTTAAAATCTAAACAAATTAAACATCATGGAAAATATAACAATATAAAAAAGAAATCTTTTGTGCCCTACAAAGATGAAGAAGGACAGACCATCCTGTATTATGACATGATCGTTACTTTATTTAGAATCTAAAACATGAAGCATAGTGGCGGTACGTGTAATTAAAAACAACCAAACCCTGACATTTACACAAATCAACATTTCATCCATGTTCAAGTAGGCCTATGTAAAAAAATTAGCTTTCATCACATCATCCTCACACACACAAACACACACAAAAACTAACATAAACAGTTGATGGGTCATTACATGTAATTTTATGCAGCTCATTTCCAAATGAACTACATCACTTCAACAGCAAAAATACGGTTCTAAGAAGAGTAATTTTTTCCAGGTTT